ATAGCACCTGGAAATCCAAACTGGACCCAAACAACTCAGTTTCCTGTGTGTCAGGGGATGCTATTAGTTTGTCACAGATGATCGCACAAGGAGGGAAGATAACAGTTTGGCTTGCTCACTAAAAAACAAGACAACTAGCCTTTACTAGAAGGCCTAACTCCATTAGCTTGCTTCCACTGCCTTCTGTGAGCAGAATTTGAATTTCTCAGCATGTCTATAATTTCCTGAGAAACTTCTTCCACCCAGCTGCTCACCCTATCTTATGAAAAAAAACCAACAAAAAAAACCTCAAAAAACCAACCAAACAAAAAAAACCACAGCAGAGCAAAGTCTTGCCAAAAAATAAACTCCTCATTAGGGTGTACAAGCACAGTTCTTCTATCAAATTGTGGGACTTATTATGAAACGAATTACATCTTCAACTTCTTTTCTATTTGTTTTCTACATGCCATTAAGAGAAAATTCTGACTTTTTATGAATATAGCTACACAGAAAAGCTACCACATTTCCATGCAAACTTAAACGCTGCACATGTGAATGCTTCTGTCCAAAATAACTGAGAAGTAGCTTATCATTTAGAATTGGGTGACTTTAAATTATCTCCTCTTGGGTGAAGTGTATTTCACTTCACATCACTATAACTTATTCATATTGCCGTGACCTTACTGTCTCGTATCTCCAGAGCTCCCAGAAGAGATCATCGTAACAGCTGACAAGCAGAACAACTACCAAGGAAAATGGAGGCTTTTAGACAGCAAAGAAACATTTGTAAATGGCCACACCTCACTAATATGAACTGGTGCCAAACACACACAAACCAATTTTCTGAGTAGACATATGTATTTTTACACATATATGCGAGGAACAGGAGTCTTTTCATTCACAATGTCCACAGAGACCTAGCAGCATGTGTATTTTACAAAATTATTTGGCATCCTAGAGTCCTTATCACCATCTGACACTCACACAATAGCTCTCCCATCTCTATAATGGAACGTGGCATCTCCATTTCCCTAACCTTGTATTAGTGTTCATGCACCTGCACAGTGACAGCCATTCCAAGGTCAACATGATGAGCATGGAACTGATTGGATTGAGAGCATTTGCCAACTGCATAACCATTACACCCAGTTTTAGACAGAAGATGAGACCAAGCAGCTAGAGAAAGGAGGAACTGTTCCTTTCAGCAGTAGCAGAGAAACATGACAACATCAGAACCAAATGCTTATATCACAGGCTCCTAAATTCTCTGTTAGGAATGCCTAGAAACCTTGGTTTACTTTTCAGCAGGGCATTGATACTCTATATTTTGACAACAGACAGCAACCTAAAGTCTCAGACTGTGCCATCTTAGAGGAGCAGAACATAAAGGTTCACAAGAAAGTCTATTTGAGATGCACCAACCAGACATTTGCACACTGCAGTCCCACAAGGACCCTACACTCAGGGACCAGCAGCCACAGCATATATGCTGGAATGCAGAGAATTCCAAGTGCAACACAAAGCATGGTGTTCTAGCAGCTTTACTAAAAGCACAGGACAACTTGGCAATAGCAGTAAATTACCTGACAGTGCAAGAAACACGTACCAAGTGTCACCCTGTTCCACACAAAAGAGCTCAACCCTGTATGACAACTCAAACAGGAATGCCTTCATATCAGAAAGGCTGAGACAGAAACTCTCTTCTCACTACTGAAACTGTACTGATGCGCAACGTAAGTCTTGCTCCAATGTTAGCTTACAAAGCAGCTTATGTAGAAAAAAAGCTACTGGGCAAAACCAAAAACCACCTCAGGAAACAGATCAGAACTGATGGCACACCTCATCCCAAAGGAATGCCCTTGCCATAGTGCTTCAGACATACCAGGGAGAATGACTAACCTGGCACTGGGGAGCAAAGTCACATCCCTCTCTATACACAGTGGCAGGTTCAACCAGAGGATCAGAGTGAGCTTGGCCCATCTTCAGGTTTGGTCTCCCTTGAGAGACAGCAGCTACAGGCTTGAAACCAGGCTTCCCAGGTGGCAGGCCAAGTGGTCTATCCTCCAGGTCAACAGTCCTTAAGGCACCATTCAGAAATCACTGATTCTCTGTAATAAACCTGTGAAAACATGCTGCCTGTTTGCTCATCACTCTGCTTAGAACCCCCAAGGAGATGCAGAAGCATTAAGGTCTGCACTGGGGTGCAGCTCAACAATTTGGGATCACTGGTCTGGTTTATAAATGTGAAGGTAGATACAATGACAGGCACTACCTTTATCTCTGCAAAGAATATAGCTCAGATAGGACACATCTAGTCTGTCACAGTGAGGATGAAACATGCTAAGAACTCAAAGGTCTCTGGTAAGAGGAAGATTTCCTTATGAATAAAAAGATCAGGCAAAAGTCCCAAGACACTCTATTCAGGCAGAACAGCCCTCTTGTCGGTCATACAGAAAGTTTCAAGATGGATACAAACATGAGGCAAGTATTTAAGGTTGCCACCCAATATTTGTGGAGCAGAGAGCTGAAGCCATGACTGCCTACACCCTAAAGCTACACCTTATCTTCTCTCCACTCACACTGGCTAATATCTTAGCTCAGACAATCTAACCTAAAAGCTGAAGCCACGCGTAAGAAAGCAGTCTAGCACTTACAGCCTATCTCTCATAGAATGCTTTCAACAGATTTTGAAATGTCTGTCCATGACCTCTTTATGATGTCAGTGCTTTGCACAAGAAGCGGCTGCCCAGGCAAACTGTAAAGAAATAGTCTCCTTATCCTAATAATTCCCCTGATTTAAACCCAGCATGCTTCACAAGTTCATTAGGAGGCTCCTCTTACTTTCCTAGACTATATAACTGCTTCATTACAAACTCGTACAAACAAATCTGAACTTTGTAGTCATCCAGAAAGTATATCCCTAGGCAACAGGCAAATAAATTCCAAGTAGCAGTCACCATAAAGCACATAGAGTAGACAGACAGATACATAGTCCACTCTAACACATGAATCACTGTACAGGAATGAGTATGCTTGTCTTGTTTTTTAACATACACAAGATTTCTACTAAGATGTATGTTAAGCTTGGCATGACTTCTTCTACAGCAAAAAAGCTTACAAGCAAACAAGTTATCAAATAGCTGTTATCCATAAAATACTTGAGATCTTTGCCTAAATCAATGCAGCTTCCCTTTAGTGTCAATAGAAGTTACTAGGAATGAAAATAGAGCATCCAAGATATCAGCAGAATGTGCTCCAATGACTGTACTGATACTTAAACCAAACATTTATCTCTGCTTGTACAGAAATGCTAATAATGCTTTTAAAAGTATCAAAGCATGTATGAACAGCCATCTCTATCCAGTGTCTGTAAATGCTATTCAAATTGAGCTTAGCCTGTAGAGGATGAGGCAGCCTAATTTTCACCAAGAAATTACCAAAGTGAAGCAAGAGAGACACTTTGGGGTCAATTTTCACAGCAACATGATGACCCAAAACTATTAATAAGTTTGTACAGTACACAAAGAAATTGTAGATCCGTGTTACGTAACACAAGTATAAGGAATTTCTAAGGTAGAGAGAAAGGAAGCAAAGGACTTAGAGAAACAAGGACAATGGAGGAGAAAAAGTCTGTTTTGGAGATTGCTAAATAGAACAATGTACAGAACATAATACCAAGAAATTTTTAATGGATTTTCTGAGATTCACTGTAGCTCCTAGGCATGAAAAACAGCCTGTATCATACTTCAAGGCCCTAAAAATTATACTTTTTGTATGCCTAATAGAGGTAAAAAGTGTAATTTTGAGCATAATAAAACTAACCCAAAATCTCATAGAAGGGCAAAATTTAGCATTATTTATGTACAAGAATTTTGCTTGGAGAACCACATGAAACTAGATATTAAACCAGAACTTGCGGCCCTTCCTATACTTTAAAAAAGTCTAGCAAGTTTTGCTGGTTTGACAGAAGGACTACAGAATGCCAAGTACAAAAAGTGATGTAAAAGTTTCTGTCACTTTCTTGAAACAGTTTTCTGTTCTGCTTCCTTCATCTTTACAGAAAGAAGCAAGTTGCTGTCAACAGGAATTTCACAGGGACTGGTGTTTTTAGAATTACATGCTTTAAATAAAGTGTATTTAAAGTCTCATACAATATAGTCTGTAAAGTTTGCAGTATATTTTTCAATTATCAAAACTAATTTTGTCTCCTTGCTGTAAACTTAGTAGTAGAATGAAGTAATAAAAAGCTATTATTCAGTACCCATAGCTGTAATGCACGTATCACAAAACCTTGGACCCACACGGAGTCTAAACTCCCAATTAAATAATAAAATTGTGTAACATACCGCAAAAAACATCCTCTTAGCTATTCAGATAAAGTCCAATTACAGCTTATCAAACTAACCTTTACCTCTGGGACAGCACGAAATAGATGTGGTACTCGGACAGTTATACCATCTTCAGATGTCTCATTCACATCCCAAATGAACACAAGCTTACTCGGGGGTTTGTAGACCCTAATTTTACGTGTTTTCACACAACTTGAAGGAAAGTTCTTCCCAAACGTTTGGCTCTTTCTAATAATAATAACTCGGCTTTGGAAAAGGATCCGCAAAGATCCCAAATTACCCTATTTCAGCGGGAATACCAGAGACCTCCCTGGAAGCAGAAGGCAGAAATGCACCCAGGCGGGCACAGCGGTGCTGTGCCGGGCCCTGGTACACCCAGGGGGACGCTGCACCATCCCGGATAGCGCTTCCCTGGAGCGACCGGCAGCGCCCAGGTGAGCGGGAAGCAGGAGCGCTTAGCCCGGCCCGGCGGCAGCGGGGCGGGGTGCCCGGGGCACCGCGAGCGCTGCGGCCCCGGTCCCGGCGGGCAGAGCCGGCTCCGCGGAGCCACGCACCGAGTGCGGTACGCCCGAGGGCGGCGCGGGCCACGGCCGAGCACGGAGCGTCCCCAGCCCCATCCCGAGCCGCCGCCCGCCCCGGCGCTCCCCGCGGCAAGGGCCGCCTCCTTACCGGCACAGCTCGGCGAAGGCCTGGAAATTCAGTTTCCTGATCTTCTTCTCGCTCAGCCAGTATCCCACCCGCTTCCCTTTCAGGAAGGTCTGCATGGTGCCGCCCCGCGAGCAGGCGACCAGTCCGGGGCGGCGGGGCAGCGCGGCTGCGGCTCGCTCTCGGCGCCTGCCAAACGACGGCTGGAAGAGAAGCAGAGAAAGGAGGATCAGCCGGTGCCCCGGGGCGGCCGCTGCCCCCCGCCCGCCCCGCTGAACTGCCGAGCCGCGCCGCGCCAGGGGCAGCCCCGGCAGGCAGGCAGCCTCGACAGGCCCTTCCCGCACCGGCGGGCAGCTCGCCGAGGCAGAGAGAAGCCGCTCCCCGCACCAGCCCCGGAGCGCCCAGCCGAGCAGGCAGGCTGCCGCCCGCCCCGCGGCACGCCCGCAGCGCCCGCACGCACGGACGGACCCCGCCGCCGAGCTCGCCTCCGTGCCCGCCCGCCGCCGCTGCTGCTGCTGCGCGGCCGCGGTGCTGCTGCTGCTGCTGCAGCCGCTCAGCTCCCCATTTGCCCGCTATTCACAGCCGCCTCCACTTCCTCCTCCTCCTCCGGGCCGTCCCCTCCGCTCCGCTCCCACCCACCTCGCGGGGCGGGCACCGGGACGCTCCCGCCCCGCCGCAGCACCGCGGGGCCGGACCCGGAGCACCCGCACTCCGCTCCGCCGCCGCCAGGGGGCACCCGAGCCGCCGCCTTAAAGAGACAGCGCCCCTTTCTGGGCCTGGCCCGGCCGGGGCACCGGGGGCGTGGCCCGTGGATGCGCCGTGGAATTTCGGTTTCCTAGGGAGGAACAGTTCTGCACAGTACTTACATTCCCTATGGGTGCTACTGAAAGTGGTTGGTCAGTACATCTTTCACAGAAAAAATGTTCCAAGTAAACATGAGTCTTCACTGCAAAGCCAAGGATCTTCCTTCTTCCAGCATTTGCATGTATGTGTAGGGATTAAACAGACTTTGCAATAGCTGTCTGATACTTAACTTTCTTCTGCAAGAGGCAGAAGGCAGGCAATGCAAGCATGGACTGACATTCTAATTTTTTGATTGTGCATCCCTAAATACTGAGGCAGCTGTTCTGTCCTTCATTTTAGAGGAAGAATCAGTCAGAATTACTGTGCTGTCTCACAGCGAAGTATCATTTCCCTGTTTTTGTTTTTCCACTTCATCTGAAACGACCATAATTTCAGCCTGAACATTTTTCTCTGCCTCCCCAGGAATGGAAAGCGTGGCCTTTACAATAACGATGTCCTTCACAGAGGGGTTGGATTGCAGTACCTGGAATCCTGAGCTGAGGTGCAGATGATGCTTCTGTGATGACGCTTTCTGTGAACCAGCCCTGGAGCCCTGTGCAGTGGGAACTGCTCAGCGAGTTCTGCTGACTCACAGTGCCACAACAAATGTGGTTTTATAACTCCAGCAGAGTACTGGAAAATTGGTAGAAGTATCCATGTCAAGGAAAGAAGGGTGAAAGCCCTAAGAAATATGAAAGGGGTAATTGATTTAGGGAATTGTTAGAAAGCATTTTACATTCCTGTCATTACTCACATGAACGCTGCAGTCATCTTGACCCAAGGGTATGTTGGAAAACAGGCAAGGAATGGAACCACCTGCAAACAGCTCATACCAATGGTTTTTGAAAATTTGTATCATAGTATTTTTTCTCCATTTGTGGTTGCTCTGAGGAATAAATATCTTTATTTTTCTTCTTCATCTTATTTGCTACTGATATGTTGTAACCTTATTTTACATAACACTTTTTATCTTAATCATATTCACACATTTTTTTAGTTTAATAATTAATGTAATAAGAAATAGTAAATGTATTTTGATAGCATGATTCCTGTTGCAGAATGTTTCACTGCTATTTAAACATTTTATGGGAGCATGGTAATTTTGGAAAATTTTTAAACTCAAAAATAGAACAATTTATCAAACATTATCAAATTAATATAATAATCCTGAAACAAATTAACTTGGGTTTCTTGTTATGAAGCGTTTTGTCTTGCCAATATCAGTGCTTTATTTCAGCTATCGTTTCACTGGACTTATTTTAGACTTTATTAGAATTTGCATCAGTATATTAAGCTCAAAATTTATATTTGTATCAGAATGGAATATGAATGTATTGAAACATGAAATTATTGAAGCTATCTTCTGAAATTATTTCTTTCTGAATTTTTTTTCTTTAAGAAATGTCACAGCTTCAGACCAATCTAAAACACAGTCTGCAGAGACAGAAATATTTATGTACTTTTTTTCCAGATGCAGGAGAGCAGGTTTTTAGAGCTGTTGTGCATTCCTAGTTCCTGTGGAAATTATGCACATGCACTAAAAAGGAGGAATTTTCTTTGCTCCAATATAGACAAATTTGTATGACATATATCAAACACCAGGTTCAATCTTAGGAATGAGAAAGCTGGTAAATGCCTTCATTTTAAACTATATACTTCTTGAATCTTAACCCTTGAACAACAGCAGATGTGGGAAACATATTTCACCTGCTATGCCTCTGTACTGCATCTTGCTGTACAATGCTGCTAAATAAATTACAATCCTCTGTTTACATTGCAGAGCCTGTTCAGGCAATGACAAACCTTCAACCATAGGAAGCCCCAGGGTAATATTTACGCGTTTCCTGATCAGGAGTAAGCTGACTATTCCTGTGACTTTCCATGGCCCAACTCTGTAAGCTGCAGCTCATGAGCTGCTTCATGCTAATTAAAGGGGTGAGGGTTGATTAGGATCTTGAGCCCTCCAGCAATCAGAACTATCTTCATCTTAGCTTCAGCTACAGGCCAAAGCAGGTTTCCCTTGTTTAGCTGGAACCTCCTTGTCTTCTAACCCTTTCAATAAATACAGGGGCTCCGACAAAGCCGGATACTTTCAATGTGGTACAAGTTAGCGAAATTCCATGGAGATTCATTTTAGAATAATATGCGATATCTCCACTTAATTAGTTATTGAAGTATATTTTTTCAGTACTTTTAAAATTATTTTTTCAGCAGCCGGCAGAAGTCACAATAGGATCTTTTGCAATGAGCAGAAAGAAAGTGGTGATTTACATTGCCTGCAGTGTAGGGTTTTGACTTTTATTTGCATTTTTTATTATTACAACACAGTTGTTGCTTTGCTGTGGATGGGCAGGAGGGCAGGCTGAGCCTTCTGTATCAGAAGAGGTCTCCCCTTTCTCCACTTAGTCAAACCACCAAGTCAGACCATGTGCTAACACAGCACTGCTCGAATGAGGTTGTAGGTAAGAGGGAACACAAGGAAAACTCTGCATGTGCTGCACTGCAGCTTTTGGGCCCTGAGGGAGAGACTCAAAGAGTAGCCCAGGTGCTGCACAGCACGTGGAACTTGTCAACACCAGTGAGGCAGACAGAGAGAAATGTATGAGAAGCATGATGGGCTGCCATTTCCTCAGGTCTCTGCTACATCTACAATTGATTCATTATAGCAAGATTCATCGAAAGGACAGATAGGATTTCTTTCCACAGTGGCTCACTAGAGCATGTGTGTGACAGAAACTGAGTTTCTACAATTTATTATTGTTTCTTGCCTGATATCTGGCAAACCATATACTTGCAGCTATTGTCTGGAAACTTTTCTGAATGTGCTCTTGGCCAGCAGCTTTTTAGTGATAAATCAGTGAAGGTTAGTCCTGGGGGTGAAAGCTCATTTCTGATGTCTGAATTCAAACGTACCACAGCTATCCCTTGCCAAAGGCCACAAGACACCCCCCCCATTGCAGGGTTCTGGTCATGGCTCCAAGGAGGGACCTCTTCTAGCACCTGATGCTGCCCAGCTGCTCTGCTCTGAAAGACTGTGTGCCCATGGAGATGGCACAGGACAGGCCTTGCCAGCTGGAATGACAGTCATTGTACAGTTAGATAAATCAGGTGGTGCTGTTCACAGCCACAGTCCCTCCAAAAAATGACGCTTATTTTCACTTTCTGCCATACCCTCCTTCACATCAGTCCATGTGCTTATGTGGCTGTGCAAGGACGGAATAAGGGAGCCAGGGACTTAGATGGACTTAAACAAACCCAGAAATTGACAACAGTATTTATGTCTTAGCCTAAACCAATTCCTTAGTCTGGATCACCATTCTTTTTTCTACCTGTTTATAATGGCACAAGGCAGCAAGCAGGTTGGAAAAAAGAAGCCAGGAAGAGAAGGCATCAAACTATCTCTTTTGGTGGCAATCCTACTTTACAGCAGCTGCAGGGGTGGGGAAGGCATGGTTCACCTCTACTTCCCCACTCGCCTGACAACCTATGTAGTTTATGCTTCAGTTTTCTGATTTTATAAAGAAAAGAAGGATTCATGAGTACTGCCTGAGACTCTTTGGTATTTCTGATCTTTTTGAGATCAGAAGAAGGAATTCATCTAGAAGAGGTCAAAAACCTTCCAAAAGAGAGTAACAATGCCTGGCAGATGACCATCCCATGCAGGGCCATTCAAGGATTCCTGAGCTCACATCAGGAAGTGGAGTGCTGTTTAGATGGCTACCTGTCACCCTGAGAGCACAGCAAGCTTTTCTGTTCCAGCCATGAAAACAGGATAACTATGTTTTTTTTTGAAACTGCAAGGAAATCACCTTTATGAGAAGGTACATCTTACTTTATATACAAAAGCTCAGAAAGTCTTCTGTCCTGAGCTCTGATTAATATATATACTGCAGGAGAGTAAGAAAAGGTCTGGCTGCCAAGTCGGCTGGCTTCTCATGTAGCATGTTGGGGACAGACTCTGTATAAGCTCATAAACCAAGGAAAGCATTTCATCAGTGAATAAAGAATTTGAAGCCACAAAAATCCTATGTGGCCAAGACAAAAGATGACAAAGTCCTGTGCCAGTATAATTATGTCAGTAGGAGCAGATTTTTTTAAACTGAATAACTTCCTCTAGCCAAAACTCAACTGTGGACATAGACACACAGCTACATTACTGTAGCTCTCTTGCCTTTTACTATGACAATCAGCTTTGTGGAAATAATGCTCATGCAAACTTTTCCAATGCAGACATATGGAGATATATACTTTGGTGATTGCTTCAGTGTAGTTAAAATGATTCAAACTATATGTGCAAGGAAATCCTGAAGGATTTGGGTGACCTCACGGTTTATTAAGGTTAGGATTGAGACTTGGATAAGGACTAGGATGCAGCAAAGTTTTCTCAATCTACAGTTTCATGCTAAGAGAGTTATTTTGCTTATAGCTGTTTGTAATTTTTTAGTCAGATGGTTTTAAGTACCTATAACAATTCTGGGAGCACACTTAAAGCAAAATGAGCCATCTTACCACATATTTTGTATTGCTGTAATTTTTTTTTTAATGTAGCTGTTTTTGATATAATGAATGTAAATCAGACTGACATAGATATATAACTCATATATATAAATTCATATAAAGTGACCTGGACATACATTAATCCTACCACTGTTGTCCCATATTTTGCTGGCTTACATCTGTCTTTTTTTCTCCTGTTGAGAATGTGTTCAAGGTGACTTAAAGAACATGTCCTCATTCCAGTGGTTCTCCACTTCCATG